TTATGAATTTTACTTCATAAATATCCTATATAGTAACTAAAATAACAATTTAATAGTAAAATTTGATTATTTACAATGTTAACATTCATTTTAGTAGAATGGGTAGACTCGCCCCATACGAGAGATTTGTCAGCAGTTCTATAAAAATATACAGTAACAGCGTAACTGTTAATATTTTCTAAAATCGATTTCACAGCTTTAAAGAGGGATAAATAGCGATTCCGAAACACCTATTAAAAGCCTTTTTTCTTCAATATTTGCCAAAGTTTGACCACTTGAAAGTTGACAAACTGAAAAAATGGGTAGACTCGCCCCGGTTTACGGTATATTGTTTTGAAAATATAGCTATATATAAAAAACTACACTTTTTTTGCACACAATATATTTTATTATAATCAAAAACTTCATTAATATAATCTTAACTATAATATCATCTTTACATACTCATTTAATTACAAAGATCATTTAATTGCATTTATAACAGGAACTTCTTTGTGATCGCACTTTCTTCAATATATATTAAATAAAGTTTATTATTCATTAAATTAAACATTAATTTACTTTTTTTTTTCATTGTAATATTTTAAAAATTTTCGGAACCATATATTCTCAAAATTATTGAAATTCTCTTTAGTTACTAACATTACATTAAAAATGTCAAAGTTAAATAATTCCTAATTTTATTTTAATAAGTATTTTATTGCCAGTTTGCAAGTGCAATATAAAAAAATTACTTTCCTTTTTTCAAGAATTATTTAAAATTACTTTCCACTTAAGGTGTTAGTTCAAATTTAATATTTCTTTTTCTTGTAATTTTTTTATTGACAGTGTGCTTATGGGTATGCACCTGAACATACAATTAACACAAAATTTAAAACCTAATTTTCATCATAAATTTGCAAAAAGGACACCTTACAGTTAAAAAAAATTTTTGATATGATTTAAATGATACAATGCAAATTATCTCTAGTAAGGAGCCACAGAACAAAAAGTACACACTTTAATCTTCTTCAAATAAATAAATAAACTGTACATCTCCTGTACAAATGTAACAATAAATTTATTCATTAAAAACTTTATTTAATTTCTATTTTGAACTAAAAGTATTTAAAAATAATATTAATTAGTTGTTGAACTTTTTATAAAAAATTTTTTATAAAAAAAAAGTTTTTAACTTATTTAAACTGTATATTTAGGACAGTATAATTAAAAAAGTACTTTTATTGAATCTTATAGCAAGGAGCACGAAACACCAGAAAAAATGTTTGATTTAACCAAGTTGAGTTTAAGTGATTCAACTCAATACTTGTTTCTTATAGGAGCATTCTTAAATTTATTTCTTGAACATGATTATTGGTATAATTATTGTGCGTTATAAATAATGTTATTTATATGATATTTTGCTCAATGAGAATATAATTAACATGTTGAAGGCCATGATACATGGCTTGTAAATAAAGCCATGTAGCATGTTACATGGCTTGCCCATCTGGCCAAAATGATTTTCTCAGTATGTATTGCATTAATTTCTTCAAACCATTTTCGTAATGATAATAATATAAAAAATAAAAAGCATTAAAAATTTACTTGAATTATGTGGAGGGTATCCGCGCACCTGGAAAGTCATGAATTTCGGTATTGAACAAAATTGGTCATGATTTTAACTATTTTTTTAAGAAAATCATGGAAAGTCATGGATTTAGGTCTCTGAAAAATCTAATTTTTAAAATGGAATCTCAAAATACCCCCCTCCTCCATTTCANCTTTCCTAGCCTCCATTTGTAATAAAATCTCCACTCACCATCATATTTTATTAAAATATAAATTGTTTTTATCATGTTCTTCAAAAGTTATGGTGTTCTTTCAAAAAAAGAAGCGAATTATCTTTTAAACTGTATCTAGTGCGAATTATCTTTTTAACTTCGGTGATTTCAGAATTTTTGTTATTATTTATTTTCTATTTTATCAATTTAAAATTCTAGCTGAATCAAGCCAGTCATTGGCGAATTTTTTTTATTCCGAAATGGGATCAGAAAAATCAGGAATATTTCTTTCCTTTGGGATGAACAAGAAAAGTATCTAGAATATAATTCTTCTGTAAAAAATTTTTTACTTTTGTATTTTATTGCTTCAACTCTTTCTTAACTCTGTTTTTTTAAATTTAAAATCTTTAAAAATGGCGATGCAGAGTATAACAGTTTTGGTTATACCTATCATTTCAGTGAATGTTATAATGCGTTTTTTAAATTTATTGCTGTGTTTTTGTTGGAGAAAATAGTAACTTTGTAAAGTCATGAAACAGTGTTTTCATCGTAGAAAAAAAATGGGTGAGAATTTCTCACCCTTTCTCAAAAACAGGGTGAGATTTAAAAAAACTAAAAAAACACAAACTCTAGGAAAATTTTTTTTTTAATTATAATACATTTCTAACGTCTTCTATTTTTTAAAGCATTGAATATTTTTGGTGCATCATCATAGAAGATTTTGCCTTTACAAGGTATTTGTCCATCTTACATTAGCACATAAAAAATTTGAACGTCTTACATGAAGAAACCTAACCTACGGTAAACACGTGGTTGCAGAGAAATGTGTTCTGAAAGGGGTTCTGTGGTTGTGTTCTGTTGTTCGAAAAGGTTTTTAACAATACTGGTAAATAGGGAAGCTAGATAACGGGGCAGATGTNAAAAGTATTAAAAATTTATTTGAATTATGTGGAGGGTATCCGCGTACCTGGAAAGTCATGAATTTCAGTATTGAACAAAATTTGTCATGATTTTAACTATTTTTTTAAGAAAATCATTGAAAGTCATGGATTTAGGTCTCTGAAAAATCTAATTTTTAAAATGGAATTTAAAAATATCCGCCCCCCCCCCCCCATTNATTTTATGGTGTTCCGAATATCTGAATTTGTAATAAAATCTCCACTCACCATCATATTTTATTAAAATATAAATTGTTTTTATCATGTTCTTTAAAAGTTATGGTGTTCTTTCAAAAAAAGAAGCGAATTATCTTCTAAACTATCTATCTAGAGCGAATTATCTTTTAAACTTCTGTGATTTCAGAATTTTTGTTATTATTTATTTTCTATTTTATCAATTTAAAATTCTAGCTGAATCAAACCAGTCATTGGCGAATTTTTTTTATTCGGAAATGGGATCAGAAAAATCAGGAATATTTCTTTCCTTTGGGATGAACAAGAAAAGTATCTAGAATATAACTCTTCTGTAAAAATTCTTTTGCTTTTGCATTTTTTTCCACTATTTTATTGCTCCAACTCTTTCTTTACTCTGTTTTTTTAAATTTAAAATCTTTAAAAATGACGATGCAGAGTATAACAGTTTTGGTTATACCTATCATTTCATTGAATGTTATAATGCGTTTTTTAAATTTATTGTTGTGTTTTTGTCGGAGAAAATAGTAACTTTGTAAAGTCATGAAAATTTCTAGAAATTAGTCATGAATTTGAAAATCTAAAATGTAGCAGATACCCTGTATGTGTTTCTAATAATCTTGGCTTCGCTGGTCACCGCTGACCCCCATGGCGCTACGAACAAACTTAGTGCCGGTCACCGCTGACCCCCATAGCATTCAACGTGTTAAATTTACAAAATGAAAAACTTAATCTTTATTAGAAAAATTATCAAATGAAAGCGAATTCAAATTTTGTAATTCTAAGGTGATGTAATTAGAAAGCTTTACAAATGTGATTTATTAATTGTGCTTGTATTATAGGTAACTTTAGCTTTGGCTGTCTGCAGAAATTTCGTAGCAACACCATTGTAGACTTCATTGACAGTGCTGTGGCTCATTCTCGAAGTGGTCGTTATCTCTTTTTCTTACATCGAAGACCTATATTAGGACCTATGAGGGTTCAGCTCTTACATCCAGTTTCTCGCTTTAAGCAAGTTCAATCATTACAGCACATGTGTAGGTAAGTAATAGCTGTTCAATACAGTGAGAGGTTTAGAAATTGTTTATTTGATTATTTTTGCTTAATATTGTTTTGTAATTTCATAACATGTTATTTATTATTATTTTCGTATGTTATTTATATTTTTAGTAAAAATTTGAAATTTAAAAACAAAGAAAAAAGATATTTCTTTTACCTTTTTGCTGGCGATCCAGAAATATTTACATTGTTGTTACTTGAATTTGTGATTTTTATGCTCATATATTTCTTTTGGTACTATTTATTTTTCATCTTAAAGCAAAGAGGAAAAGTGGAACATGAAATGAAATATCTGTACTTTTATATCTTAATTTTTGCCATTAAAAATAGTTTAAATGATTTAATGTTGTAGATAGAATTTAAACTGGGGTTTTAAATTAAACAAATTATTTTTAATGAGAGTGTGTGTAACTGGTTTAGATGTTTTTTAGTGTTATTTGTAAATGTATTTAGTTCAGTTTGTAGAAATTCTTAACTTTGTAGAGGAGACCCAATTTTGAATTTTTTTTTTATTTCTAATGGCAAAAGAAAATGACAAACTCTTACAAAAACAGTGAACAAAAAAGGTGAACGACAAGTAAGAGAAAAAAGTCACTATTTCATTAACAGATGTTGGGCACTCCAATAGCGCTTCACCTCAGAGTCCCCATCGCAGAGCTGGGCATCTCAATAGATGGTTCCTGTCCATAAGTTCATTATTCGAGCATAACGGGCAATTTGGGTCAGCGAAAATGCCGATACGGCAGAGGTGGTTTGCCAGACAATTGTGGCCACCGCAAGTCTGAATTCTGCAACAGCTTTATTGCGGGGCTTATCTGCAATACCCTGTTCTAAGCTGTTCCTCCAACTTCTTGAAGAGATAGGAGAAGTGAGAAACGCTTTCCAGTTTTTTCTCATAAAATGTTTGATATAGAGTTTTGTCGAATGAAAGGATTTAAGAGTGCTTGGCTGTTGAATTATTTTAGCGCCTTTCATAGCCAGCATATCGGCTTGTTCATTGCCGTAGATATCGCAATGTTCTGGGATCCATTGGAGTGTTATTTATCGCCCTTCTATCCTCAAACTCTCCAGGAGAACCTGGCAATCCTGGATAGTCCTAGAGATAGGTATTTCACCAGATCTAATAGCTTGAGTGGCAGCTTTGGAGTCAGACAGTATAACTATCCTATTGTTAGATCTGGGGGCAATTTGTTCCAGTGCCACATAAATAGCATTTTGAAAAATAAGTGGGGGAAAAAAAATTTCTCTTCAAGTTTGGTAATCTATAAAAATTTAATGGGTATTGAAGCCCTAATAAGCATCTTTCCAACTTCTAGTTACAGGCATATAATGGTAATTTTGAAAAATTTGTCATTCTTCTTAATTTCAAATTGGGAAACAAAAGGTAAAACTCTTTCCTAGCCTCCATTTTTTCAATACTCCAATTTAAAAAAAGAAAAATGCATGTAACAGCCTTGACTCATCTCAAATGAAATTCATTTGGCAATTTGTCAAAAATTAGTCCAGTTAGTGTGAAAAAGGTTTGACCTATTTAGAATTATTTTGCAAAAATAAAACTCAACAGATATTACAAATTAAGATAAACTCTAGCCCTCGTCGTAAGAATATTTATATAAGTGTATAACAATATTCTGGTCATGATGATCGATTAAAATAATTTGTGCAATTCCGTAGAATTCTACAGGGACTGATAATTAAATTCTAATCTTGATAATTAAATGTCAGAAATGTGAGACAATTTCTAAGAGATTTTAAAGTCTAGCATGAAAAGCTAAGCTAGTCACATACTTTGTATTTTTGAAAATTTTCGAGTGCAGTAAAACAGTACGTTGTAGCCAAATACTTCTAAAAAGAAAATGCATGAAGATTCTACCAAATTGTGGATAGTAAAATTTGTATACAATAATTGTGGATAATAAATTGTGAATTATAACCTATTTACAGCTTTGTTAGAATTAATACAACGTTGGAAATGTCTGACATAATGTACCATAATTTGCATATAATATACCATTCCATAATAAATCTATATTAAAGTTTCCATTCCTTCATATGCTTTTTTTTTTTTTTTTTTTGAAAATTGAAATTGCATCAGTCAATATTAAACATATTGACTATGCCACTTTTTTTTTCATTCCCCTATACATTTTCTAAATTTCCTTTTTTATTGTATATTTGCATTTTGATGTTGTGTATGCATTATAGTATCAAAAAGCAATTTAAAGTATGATATCGATTTTCGGCAATCTCTGTCAATTTTTAAAAAATGTGTAAATAAAAATAATCATTGACATGGAGCTACCATTGGAAACTAAAACTATTAATATGAAGAAATAGCTTCTAAGGTGACTGTTTTCACCAAAATATAAACAAAAAGTTATTTTGTAATCAGTTGTAAAAAATGGCTACTAAAAATAATTTGCGAATTTGGTTTTTGTTGATTTGTTGGATGCTGATAAAAAAATGGCTATTCTTTTTTGTAAAACAAAGGTCACAGGTGCATAAATAGAAGGAGATTGGTGGAACATCAAATAACAAATATGACTGTGATGTGAAAATAAATAGATTAAAAAAAAAAAAAATTCAACTAGTTAAATATTGACCAAAAAATTTCAACAACTCTTGGCAAAAAAATAAATATTCAGATAAGGCAAGCCAGTGTCTGAAGAAAATTAAGCTCATAAATTCTAATATGCTCAGTTTTTCCGTTTATAATTCTTGACAAAATTCTAATTCAACATTTCATTATTTTTGCATTGGTAAATTAAACAGAGTTTGTAAAATATTTGTATTATATTTGTGAATTTTCTGCATTGAGTTTGGTATTTTTATTTTTTATATATTTTAAGTTATTACAATTGGAAAACTGTTTATGTAGCGCAGCATATAACATGTCATGCAAATTTTTTTCTTTGCATACATTTCCTATTTGTTTATCATCTATATAACTTGACATCTATGCTTCTTTAACAGATTGAGTCTATTTAAAATTAAATTATTGTTGTATATAATTTATTAAATGTAAATATCTCAACAAAAAAATAGTTTATTTTGTGGATTTTTTTATATTGTTTAAGTATAAAGATTGTAAAAGTATGTTAGAGAAAGGAAACTATTTAGGATATTATTTTTCATATATAAAGCAAATGAGGCGACTATTATTGGAATCTCATCCCAGCACTGTTGCAACCATAGAGTTAAATCCATTAATTGTAACACTCTCTTGTAAGAAATCTTTAGTGGACAAAAACATTTTTAATTGCATTCATATATAAGAGGACAATTTTAGTAATATGACATATTAAAATTTTTCAAAACTAAAAAGATGTAATATTTTATGCATATTTTAACAGAAATAGATGCATAAGTTTTATTTATGGCATGTTTGTTGTAACAGTATCTGACATTAAATAAAGCTTTCACTGAATTAAACTTCCCTAAGATAATCCAAAATTTAGTACAGTAAGATTAAGCCTTAAAATTAATGCAATATTTAGAATGCAAATTTATTATTATCCATCATTTAATCTTTTGAACTACCGTATTATGTAATATATAAATTAAAAAAATAGTGCATTTTGCTTTATGTGGATCTTTATTTTTTTTTTTTAAGAAAAAAGCTTTAAAATAAGTGTAATAATAACCTGGAAAAGGCTAGAAAAATTCTAAAGAACTAACAAACAAAAATTAAACGTGTAATTTAATTTTTATTTCAAAAAATTTTAAAATTCCTGAGGAACAAGTGAAATTTTTCATAATTCAATTTTTTATTTTTTATTTACAGGAAAAAAATATGTTTTACTTTTTTGTTCAATTTTTTCTGTTCATTGAAATCCTTCTTTGTAACCAGAGAATACTTTCTTACTGTTTTATAAGAAAAACGCATTTAGCCATTTTTTCCTGTAATTTGCAAATAGTCAGTAAAAGGAATATTGCTGAGTGTTAGTAATTGTATGTGCTGAAAATAAAAATAAAAAATATATAAGAAAAGCACTACATAACTTGTGAAACTGGAAAGGAATAAGCAAAAATTGAATAGATATTTTTTTAAAAATTTATTTCTGTCCATTCAAATCCTTTGTAGTGTCCAGGAAATATTTCTTAATTTACTGTTTAATAAGAAAAACACCTTTACTCCCCCTTTAATTTGTATATATTCTGTAAAATTAATTTTAATTACATTATGTATTGAAAAATACTATTTAATTACAAAGGAATAGGGATGCAGAAATATATATATACAGAGTGTGTAGCGTTTTTAAAAAGTGCTTAAAGGTGCTTATTTTTTAAAAGCTCTTAAAGGTGCTTTTTTCATTGGATGTTTTTAAAAAGTGCTATATTTTCCCTCTTTCAAAATAATATTTTTCCTTTACTATATTGATTTTCACTTTAAATTATGCTAAAATACACAGTTCACATTATTCTATTCAGCGGTTTCAGAATTAATTCAACCCCAATCTATTTCAGCGTATTGTCAGTCCGCAGCATATGAAAACGCCATTCGTTTTACAAGATTTGAAATTTCATGATTTTTTGACAATTTTCAAAAACAATGCTGAAGGTTCTTTGACATGACAGTTAAAACAAGATAAAACAGTCAATTGTGGAAAACATTCCAACCCTGCGTAATTGTATTTTTTTAAAGTGCTTAAAAATATTTTTTTAGTGCTTGAAAAGGGCTTAAAAGGTTCTTATTTTTTGTTGAATAATTTGGCTAGACGCTCTGATATATGAATTATCAAAAATAGAATGGATTCCTCTTCAAGGCTTATGGAATTTTCTGCCAAATGTTGGAACTTAGTGTGTGTCAAGTCTAATTGAGAACTGGTTCAATCTATGGTTAGCCCTGTTTATTTTAAAATATGATCTATTTATGAAGTTAAACATTTTTTTTTTTTTGTTTTAGATTCAAATTTATTTATTTAGAACTTTGCATTTAAATGCTTAAAATTCAATTTTGTCACACAATATGACACAATTCTATTTCTATTTGTTTTGGGATTTTTAAAAATTAGTATTTAATTTGCTTTATGCCCAGTTTAAATTTTTGATTGTAGCAAGTAATAATAGTAAATAAAATATAAAGAATTAAATAAGCAGGAGCGTTTTCACTTTCTTCTATTTGTTTACATTAGAGGCTTTAACTTATAATTAAAATTATTTTAAATGAAATAGATTTTTGAAGTATTATTTGTCTTTAAAACAGTAAACTGTTAAGATTATATCAATTCTATTTCAGTATTTAGTTTGTTTTTTTTATTATTATTATTAAATATTGCTAAAATTGCTTGTCTCACATCTAAAGAATTTTATACTTTTTGAAGCAATTAAAAGTAGTTCTTTAGTGTAAAGTAGATTTTCTATTACATAGGTTCTTAGTTCGGATGTTATCATATATATTCTAAATTAAATAAATTATTACGGAACGTTTGATGGCGAAATTATTGCCTTTAACAATATTTTAATGTCATGCATCCTTCTTCATGTGTTTGGAATTTTTAATTAATTCAGATTATAATCTTCCTTTAAAAAATACATGAAATTTAATTAAAATTCTCAATATTTGTACATGATTTAAAGTATTGCTGCAAACTTTACCTAACTAGACTAATCTGAATTTAAAAGTATTCAGTATGTTTGTATTTTTATCTTGTTTTATTATTTTTTAATTTTAGTTTAATTTTTAATTATTATAAATTATATTTTGAAAGAATAATATTTTGAATTATAATATAAGTTATGTTTTGAATTCAGAATTGTGCAAGTAATTGAAAAATTGAATGTAGTACCAAAATGTTTTGAATTCAGAATCATTGTAGCTTCTCATATTCTAATTCTGTATTTATTTATTAACATTTGTGTTACTTAAACCTTGATAATTTTCACCTATCTCAAATTATATAAGTTATTATTAGATGAAAATAGAGAATATCTAAGTAATAATTGTTCTTTCTAAATTGAAAAGAAATAAAACAAACATGGTGTATGTTTACATTTATTGTTTTACATCAGTTTTAATAATTCTTCAGTTATCAGTAAGTTTTAAATTGTTTTTCAACAGCAAATAAATTATGATGTAAGCATATTATTCTAAAAAATTTTGTTACCTGTACAACGCAACTTATAATTCTATTTATTTTTGAAAATTAAGCATAAATGAAGGTAGAATTTTATATGATAAAATTCTTAAATACAATTTTAACTTTAATTCTTTTCTCATTAGTCCTTTGAAAGAAATGCTTTCAAAGCTAGCTTGATGTATTTTTGCAAAGTTTACATCAGAAATGAAAAGGGGGAAAAAAAACTTAACTTTTCAAGTATTTGAATTAATTTTTTTTTTTTTTCGTTGAAAGAATTAAGAATAAGCATAGTTTTTAATTTTTGACAAACATTTTAGTTTTTTTCTGAATTAAAAAGACATTCTGGAATGGACTGGTTTTGCTGGAAGTTAAACGGTTTCTCTTAATTTTGATAACTGAAATATAATCTTATTTTGTGGCTGAGTAGTATTTATTTAGAAGGGAAAAAAAATAGCTAAGAAATGTAGGTAAGGAGTCATAGATTTGTTGAGCCGAATTTAATCAAGAGAATAAAAAACAAGCAGAAAGTAAATTATTAACTTTTAGAAAGCAAAAATTGAATTGATTAATTTGAATTCAAATGCATAAGATGTAAGAAGGAGATATATGAATTTTTATGTAATTGAAATATGTTGTAAACTTGATCTCTACTTGTTTTTGAGTGCTAATGATTTTTTTTTTAATATTTTCATTTCCTAAAAATGTAATAATATACTGTCTTTAATCGAACTATGTTAATACTTCATTTTTTAATGTAAACTCTCTAAGCTTTGAACATAAATTATTTAAAGTTAAAAATGACTTAATATTGTATTAATCATAAATTTGTATAAGAGATTTTACCAAAGAGTGCATGTTATTGTATACTTTAAAATGAAATTAAACAAGCAATGTTACTTTTTTATTAATCTCTTAATTTAATGTTGGCATTATTTTTGTGCATTCATTATATAGTGATAATCAATCTAATGTCTTACGCTCATATACCAGGGGTCATTATATTGAGCACTGATTCTATTATCTGTATATATATTTTTAAAATTTACATTACCAGCTGTGTAAAATTGCAGGTCTATTATGTCGGTGGATCAAATATAAATGAGACTTTTTTAATAGCAGCAGACTATTTTCTTTGTCACGACAATAATAGACTTATCTGGAGTCTAAGTAATTGTTTAACAGTGTTAGTAGCTTGAATCATGAGTGAGCCTAATGTTCATAATGCAGTTGCACAACACATAATAATTAAACAGGAGAAAATATCAAACCTTTTAAAATTTTGTGGACATTACAGTTTGGCAATGATACCTTGTCAAGGGCTTAAGTATGCAAACTTGTGATGAATCTTAAATGTGTCCCTACACCCCTGAAACAAAGCATTCCAATATAGAATGGCGTAGGAAAAATGAATCTGCTCAATTCAAAGCTAAAATCTCTGTTTATAGAGTACTCGCTAGTGTTTGTAGATCCCCTTCATGTATGATGAACTATCGACGCAGATTATTATTATGAACTTATATAGAAAATCAAAGCAGCCTTTTAATCCAAGAGACATGGCATGCCGATCTGTGAAGTTATCTTGCAGCAGAAGTACGCAACGCCTCATAAAGCCTCGGTAACACATCAAAAGTTGCTGGCATTACTCTGGGAAACATTTGAACATTCTCCATATGGACTTGGGAACACTTAAAGAAGCCTTGGGTCAAGAGATTTTCATCCAATGTAAGATAGATGATGTGTACAGTTGGTTCACTACATGGCATACTTTCTATTCCACCGAAATTTAAAAAAACTTTTGAAAATGTTGGCAGGCCTGATTGTGCTCCGGAAAAAATCCGGATTTTTCGCTAACAGTAATCCGGAAGTTTCCGGAGATTGAAGGTTCAGACGTTTCAAAAAATCATTGATCACAGAAGTTTCCGGAAATCAAATTTTCAAAAGTGGAACTTAAAAACACAGTTTATTTTGTTTGTAAGGGAGAGCCAGATGCATTTTTTATCAGTAAATAGTTATAATCATAAACTCAAGAAAGTAAGACATTTGTAAATTTTTATTACTTCTCCTAAAAAAACCTAGTTTAAATTTTTTTCTTAATTTTTCAATTTAATATTTTTTTTTTTTTAAACTCGGGGAAATTTTCCGGAATTTTGACTTGGGCTCACAATCACCCCTGTGTAGGGAAAGAAGTGTAAAAATTCAGAAAATATGTAGGAAAATAACTGTTTATATTTTTTTGTTAGTAATATTTTAATATTTAGTTATTAAAGAAGTCTCATTTATATTTGATCCATCTTTGTATGTTGCTGTAATATTGTTTTATTTCCAACAAATTTTAAAATCTTTCTAATATTGAAAATTTGTTTGCATCTTTCAGGTTTATTATTTTGAAGACTCTGCGAAGGGATCTAATAGACCACCTGCCTCTGCCACGCAGACTTAAAGACTACCTCAACACCCCACATTATTACTCAGAGGAGTTAGCCACGCAGTCGCTTCTCACTAAAAGATGTACCGACAGCCGTTCTTTGAGCAGCCGATCTAGTCACTCCGGTACAACCAGGGCAGAAAGTGTCTCATCAAATACTCAGTCCAATCCTGGATGATGTTTGCAGCTTTTAGGGAACGATCCTTATTCTACATATGTTTGGCTCGATGTGTTATCATTACCCACAGTTTCCAATCAGTGAAACATAAAAAAAAAAAATTATATATATGACTTTAACCAAGAGTCAAGATCTTTTTTAAAAAGTTAATTTATTATTAAAACACATAGTGATTAGTATATATTAAAGGAATGAATGGGACGTCTGTTTGGATTATCATTATTTGCTTAATTGTGTGATTGTGTAATACGTGGATATACATATTTTTGTATGTATGCCACCAGTAAATGTTACATGTTCATACATGCACAAGCATTAGAAGTGTACTGAAAGGTAAAACATTCCAGGAAAAAAAAATAGAAAGAAGCTTGAGGCTTTGTTTGAAAAAATGTGCTGTTTATTTATTGCCAGATTCTTTTTACAGATTAAAAAAAGTGACAGTTGAAGATATTTTTTATGAAAAGATATTGTTTGTAATTTTATTTTCATGTTTTTAAAATTTTTTAGCTGCTGAAAAAAAAAATAGTGAATGAATACTGCAAAAAGTTTCATTTTAGATTCGATGTACAGTTGACTTGTATTATATACATGTTGTTGTCATTCTCAACTTTAACCCTCTTAGCGTTTACCTCTGAATTTTTTGACATCTGTTTTTCTGTAGAACCAGCTGAAGGACACTTTCATTCAATTTTGCAATTCTTTATTTTTAAGTTTTATGTAATGTTTTTTTCTCTAGTAACTTCTTAGTTGCGAACCAGCTTCTCTCTACGATTTCCTTCTCTAACACAAGGAAGGAATTTTTTATGCAGTTTTGCCTAAGTGCTTTGTGTTCAGATTCTTATTAGTTTGTTTAGCTTTTCTTCTTGCTGCTTTATTGTAATACAAACTGTTCCTTTCTTCTCATATTATTCTATGAGAAAATAGTACTTAGAGGAAAAATTTTTGTTAGAAAGTTTTCCAAATTCTTAACGTGTAGAGGGTTAAGGCAGTGTTTGTTCGTAATATTTCACTTTTTAAGAAGTATAAAAATTAATGGGGAGTTGTGAAAATAGATAAAATTAGGCCTAATTTTATTCTGTAAGATAAACAGATAGGGATTTGAAGTTACAAAAAAAAAGTGACATATTACTAACTTATATCAAGTTAAGTTTAATTTTTCCTACCTTGGACATAGAAGAACATAAGCTGAAATCGCTCTCTGGATTGAGATAATGTTGGAATTTTAAAACGAGTGTTGCATGTCTAAAAATGTTAAAAAGACAACTTGATAAATAGTCTGTTAGTTAATGTTTTGATAATGATGCACACCAGAAATGTATACATTTGTACCTAGATGCTGTTATATTGCATTTCATTAAACTGAACTTCACTTTTCATCTTTTTGTATAAACGTGGAATTGTCATAGATATTAATATTTGAAATAACTGACTTTTTCTTATTTTTATAGCTTAAACGAAATGTTATGACATTTTCTCTTGAAATTTACTTTCTACGATATTTTGTGAACATTATCTTCTTTGAAAGTTACTGGAATTCAATATTAGATTTATATGAATTGTTGTTCTTGAAGAACTTTGTCAATATAAATAGAGTGTGTGAATACATTTTTGTTGGTTAGCATGAATTTTTTTTTGTGTCTGCATTAACTGTAAATTTTGTACTTCATATATCTTAAATCAAAAAAAATTTTCTGTAATTAGTTTGAGAATGGTATATAATTTATTATATTTTTTGGTAAGCATCATGAATAGAGTTCGAAGTAAATTTATAAACTATGTATTTTTTAAATTCTGAAACTGACATTTCTATGGGATTTAAATATATTTGATCTTGTTTTAGCTCCATAGCTTTGTAACTTTTAACCAAACCTTTGAAGACAAGGGAATTTCTTTCATTTCTGGTGAGTGTGAGTTCTGGACAATAGACAAGTTGGCTTCTAATGCAATGAATTCTGGTTAATAGATCTTTCTTTTTGACATTAATTGGCAATTAATGGTAAAAATTTGATGTAGACTAATTAAGGTACTGTGGAGATACTATTAAAAATTTTGATTGTTATGGATTAATTAAGATAATGTGGATTGAAGCTTTATAAACTTGAGACAGATAAAAATACTGCATGGTAAAAAGGTTCTTTTTTTGCAAGTAAAGATTTTTTTAAAATTGAATTGACTATTTAGTTTAATAATTTAATAGTTTAGTTTTACAATTAGAATGGTCAATTGTTTTAAATTCTAGAATGGAAATAATTAATTTTGATTAAATATTCAGCCTTATAGATTTAAGTAATTTTTTTTTTATTATAATTTAATATTTGTTAAGAACTGTACATATTTATGATATATTTGTCAAAAGGTAATTATTGTGGGCAATTATGTTTCTGTCAGCATAAAGAACTACTCCACTTACCCATTTAATGCATAGTTTACCTTTCTACAGTTTAATAAATTTCTTTCAACTCTTTACTAATTGAAAAATTTCATTTATGAAAACTGTCTCTATAAGTTTTGTTAGCATTAAAGATATGCAGACTAAACTGTTTATAAATTGAATAATTATAGCATCTCGCATATTGAATTTTTTATTTTATTTATTTACTTTTTGAGGTTGTATCAGTAACTTAAGACAGACAGCATAGGCTGTATATAAATTTGAAAGATTATTTCATTAATGATTAAAACTTTAAGAACCTTATTTATTGTTGTAGAGTCAGCATTAAGAAAAACTAACTATAATCAAATTATTGAATTAAAAAAATTACCTTATTACATTTTAGGAAATTTTCTTTTGCCCTATTATTTGTTGGTTGAAAATATTAAGTTGAATTTTGGTTCCTTCTACATTGAGAAAAACAAGGAAACTAATCTGGCTTTAAATAAAAAGATTATTTTATCCCAATTGAATATTATAGAAACTTTTGAGGGCTGATACTTAATAGGTAAAAAAAGCAATAATTCTAGTTGTGCCAAGAAGAACTGTGATCATGTCAATATGAGTAATGGCAACTTGATCATATCAAAATAATAAATAAATAATATAGTAACTGTAGTTGCATCAATAAAATCCATAATATCTTTTAACTCTTTAAAAAAGAAAGAAAATTAGAGTAAAATCAGGAAGAATCTTTGTTTATAGTTGCGGCAGCATTGGGCGATTAAAAAAAAGATCATTTCTCTAGTACTTTGGAAACTAGTGAAGTACTTTTTGTATTCAACTCCTATAGAAATGTCAGTATTCTGTCCTAAATTATATTCAAAAGCTATGCTTTTTTTTTAATTGTAGACAAATTTAAAATGCTATTAAGCATAAAAAATATTAGCTTTTAGATTATAGAATTGTAAAGATATCTAAATCAATGCAATATCTTTGAGTACTGGTTTACTTAAGAATTTATTGTTTTAAAATTCTTTATTTTTAAGTGTGTGTGGCTGGCCCCACAAAAGCATTTAATGTTTTATTTTAAATCTAAATAATACTTAAAATATACAGGGTGACCAGAGAATAATTTAAGTTCAACTGCTTTTTCTATAATTATTGTTGTACTGTAGTACTGTCACGTTCAAAATTTAAAAATCGTGAAAACGATTAACTTATTTATATAATTTTATATTGAAGTTTTTGTCTGAAATTTGGTAATAAAAAATTAATATAGTTTGTGGGACAGGATGTTTGGCCTATTAGGAGAAAAATAGTATTGTTAATTTAATTTTTGAGCTTCATTTTTTTCATTTCAATATCCTCTAGATTCTACTTAGTTCCCCACTTTTCTCAGTTTTCCTATTTATTACATACTTATTGAAATTTTATTGCTTGTTATGCATTGAAATGTATTTTATGATAATTATTTTGATTTTTATGTACTTTTAAAATTTTTTGAAACTTTTTAAAAGCTTTGAATATATTTGAACTCAGAAAAATTGAAATTTAACAACAATTAAATAACATACCTTTCAATGAATAAAATTTTTCAAAATATTGATTAGTGACTCGTTATGTAGGGAAACTGTGTTCAAATATTTTTTTTCCTTCTCAGTTAAGATGATTTTATTGCTGTTTATTTGAAGGAATTAATTTAAATTTATTTTAAAGAATTTATTTAAAGAATTTTTTTATAAAATTACATAGTTATTTATTTTTTAATTTCAGATTTCCAATATTTTTCTTTCTACTAGTTGAATTTATTTAACGTTGCAAATTGCGCTTTTTTTAAAAAAAAATTTTATAAAGGGCTTTTAATTGTATAAATTAAAAATGCTTGTTAATTAGCAACTAATTTGTATTATACTATATTGCCAACAAAAATTTTAAACACATTTTTTTAATTTAGTAGGGCAATAATCAATAATATGTTCTAATCATTATGTTTGATAGTTAATACTCTTAAGTTTTTCTAAAGGCTCTGTCACATATTTCATAGTACAGTCATCACCGCTTAAAGGAATACCATCGGTTCCAGCCAAATCTATGCTATTAAGCGGGTTTTTCGTTTAGAAGGGGAGTGCAATATTCTATCTTAAATTCTGAATTTTCGCGAAATTTTACTTTTTAATGGTATTTAATGCATAATATAGTGTTTTGATTAAATAAACTCAGTTTTATGATCAATAAATAATTATAATTAAAATTTTCTGCCTTAGTATCAAAAAAATTTCATTTATAATTACATAAAAATAAATCAATGTTAGTGAAAAGTATCATGTAGGAACTAAAATATTATTTGATCCCATCCGAAAAATTTTATAATTGAAGTCTGTTTTTTATACCCGTTTTATTCATCAATTTATCAAAATTAGATATTCCCTTCTAGTTTCTACTAAAATTTTCATGACTTGTGCGTATTCCTTTCAAGCACAATCAGAATTTTTTTTTTATCTTCGAAACTTGAGAAACTCCTAATTAATGCACATAATATAATAATTCTTAATTTTATTTTCGATTAATTTAAATCATTTCTTTTCGCGCTCAACTTTCAACCAACTCAAAATTATCCACTGGATTAAGCAATTATTCTACTTAAGAGAAAGACACTCTTTACACTAGTGTATTAGGTTTTTAAAACTTTTTCTTATCAAAGTTAATAGTGCAACAAGAGGGGACAACAAGTCTTGACCTAAAAACAAATCACTCTATCCCTTTTTTACATACTAAATGATGTGTGAGTGAAGTAAGTCAAAGAGGGGTAAAACCCCCTTCATTTACTTCAATGTATAACTGGCAGCAAGATTTGATTAAATTTTCAACTTCATCCTAAACACCTACTAGTGAATAGGAGCGATTAAGTGGGGACGACTGTATAACCAAATTTGCTCCATTAGAGTTTCCAATCTTGTATTATAGTCACCCTGTCTATTTTATTCATTCGAAAACAATGAAAAAAAAATTTAAAAAAAAAAGAAGCAGAAAAAAAAAACATTTTATTTTTAAACTTTTATAGTACTATTGCTATTTCAATTAAGTAAAAAATTTGTTTTGTTTGAGTTGAATGTTTGTTATGCAATAGTTATGTGATTTTTGAAGAATTGTTGATTTTGTTAATCAAAATTTACACGTGTATAAATAAATGAAAATAAAATGTTGTGATGCTTGCATTGGAAAAAGAGGAAGAAACCTTTCAAGTACACTCGTAGGTATCCTCATCTTCTAAAGCACAACTCTCTTTCCCAGTGTAATGCAAGACTTTAAAAAAGCATTTATAAAACGTTAAACTGACTCCCTGTGAACACATGTGATAAAATCACCTATTATGATGTTTGTTTAGTTCTTTTTTACATAATAAAGTCAAAGTATATGTTGCTTTCATTTATTGGCCTCTTTCTTATGATGATTACATTTAAATATCCATAGAGTTAACCCTTTGGCGCTAATGGGTCACCAATGTTCCTTTTAAAAAAAAATCTTAGATTATCAGAATTAAATTTGCACTAAAATCTTAAATACAAAGAAAAGAAAGTTTTAAATTCTTTCAAAAATTTATTAAAATTTATTTTGTAATTTAAAGAAATTTCAATGAGGAATAACTGTTTCTCTTAGTTCTAAATAACTGCTAGTTTGAAAAATTATTGTTTAGAAAATTTTCCTTTAACACAGACAGAAAACGCGTAGTTTCAAGCTGTATTTCATAATCATAAATTATTAAAATGTTAAATATATTTTGACCTGCGTTAATGAAAAATATGTTAAATAAAAATTCTGCATCAAAGGGTTAAAAATGGGCAGAATAAATCTAGAAACAATAGTTAACAATAACTTAGAAAAAAAATTTAACTTGGAAACAATAGATGATTACATTTTAATATCCATAGAGTTAACCCTTTGATGCAGATGGGTCACCAATGCTCTTTTTATATATATTTTTTCTTCTGGCCCTCTTATCACAAGCAAACATTTGTTTCGGTATTTTTAATTATAAAAAACAGTCTGATAATTTCTGGAGGAAAAAAAATTTTTTAGATTATAGAAATTAAATTTGTACTAAAAAAGTAAATTCCAAGGAAATTTTTTTTTTTATTTTCTTTCATATTCGAAAATTTATCAATAATTGATTTTATTCTTCATTCGCATACCTTTCAAAAGAAATTTCAATGATGAATAACTTTCTCTTTGATCTAAGCTGCAAATTTGAAAAATAGTTTGGAAATTAATCATGTATGGAAAATTTACCTTTAACACAGGAAAAAATAATAAAAATAAGTGCTGTAGTTTCATGCAGTATTTCGTAATCATAATTTTTTAAAATGCTGAATATATTTCTTGCTTATTTTGACCTAAATTAATGAAAAATATGTTTAATACAAATTCTGCGTCGAAGGGTTAAAAGTTGAGCAGAATAAATCATTCATCATGATAAAAAATGATATGCATGAACTGATTTTTATCTTTCGAATAGTTGATTCAAATCAGTAAACTAATTTATGGAAATCTGGATCAGTGCTAAAACGTTAATTCAAATAAACGTTACAAGTTAGTGATTCAAGTCATTTAATTGATTCAATAATCAATTTTAGTTTATACATGATGATTAATAATTTCCTCTGAATAAAACTAATTCCAATCAAATCTGTAAATGAGTTCATGCTTTGAATTGGTGATTCAGTAATCAATCCTAGTTTTAACATCGTGATTAATAATTTTCCTTGGAGTTCTTCAGGTTGTTGTAAAAATAATTTTAATAGATACTAAAGAAACACTGGAGAAGTCTGCGTTCATTTTAAGGTCAAAACCCCACGCCGAAAGGAAGTTTCGTAGTAGGTTTCTCTTATATAACATTCGTCCCGCAGTGGACTGATCGTTAAGACACGGTTCCCAGCAGATCACCGAAGTCAAGCGTCAGTGTGTGCGTGGGGTNTAAAGTGACAATCATGATGATTAATAATTTCCTCTGAATAAAATTAACTAATTCTAATCAAATCTATAAACGAGTTCATGCTTTGAATTGGTGATTTAAAACATTTAGTTGAATAACTGATTCAGTAATCAATCCTAGTATTAACATCGTGATTAATAATTTCCTTTGGAGTTCTTCAGGCTGTTGTAAAAATAATTTTAATAGATACTAAAGAAACACTGGAGTAGTCTGCGTTCATTTTAAGGTCAAAACCCCACGCCGAAAGGAAGTTTCCTAGTAGGTTTCTCTTATATAACATTCAATCTAGCTGTATTTCAGAGTATTTGTTGCCAACAACCTTAACTATTTTGCAAACAATAACCAACCATACATTTTGTTTTAATGGCACACGATCTATAATTGAAATAAAATTGATAGAAAAAAAAAAACGTTAATGTCTTATTTGGGTAAGGCTTGATATATAATAGGATTGATTATACGCCATGAATCAAATGACACTATATTTGAATTTTTTTTTAAACCATACTTATATAAAGTATTGCATGGTGTAGATTTACTTTATCTAAACAATTTTTATTTGACTAACTTTAAAACAACTGAGATCGGGAAGAACTACTAAGAAATATTTATTCGCGTATGCATGAGTTATTCGAAACCATATTTTACGAATTTGTTCTTTTAACCAACTTTTTATGACTTTCTCGTCAGCGAATATTTATTTTGAGAAATTCTAGGAAAGCATCAAATTTTTAAATTTTTTTTTTAAGTATATAATACTTTTCTATTTCCTATAAGAAATAAAGTACATCGAAAATATGTTTCCTTCCATTCAAATAACATCAATGTTTCGTGAGAATAAATTTGCATTTAAAGATATGATCGTGCAAATTGATAAATTAGCTATTATTCGTAATGGTTAGTTTAAATAT